CAGTAGCATGGAGAGAACCCAAATGGGCTTCTGTTTCCTTCAATGGTTGCTACTTTGCTGTGACAAGAACTCACAGCTAGGGCCAATAATGGTCCAGAGAACAAATCAAAATGAATGGAGTTAAGAGCATTACCAATTCAATTTCAAATTGATTTTTACTGTAATTCTGAATTTTTGTTGCCTGCCTGTCCTCGATCCTGCAAGAGAACAGAACATAATGGACAACAGTCAACCCAGTGAGGTGGAGCAGCCAGTGATGACAACACTGAAAAACACAGCTGGACACAGTAAGGGAACAAATAACACTTGAAAGATCAGGACACATCTGAAACTAGCAGCATAGCTATAACCTCGGAGGACAGAGAGAAGTATCTCTCACCAGCATCCAGAATAAGTAAATATCAGGCCTGGTATACATCAGTGGCATAGCCATGCCAAGAAAGAACTTGTGCTGGCAAACCTGTGATTCTCCAGTCATGCATGTGCACCAGGAACACTTAACTTGAACATGAAAGATTCAAAGAACCAAGTAAAGCCATAGAAAACATGATGTTAAATATTGCTGTGGATCAACACTGCAATACACCTGGGAATATCACTGAAAAAAACTGAACTGTAGGGAATAGGCCTTTAGATAGAATATATCTATCTCAAAAAGGGCGCATGAAACGCCTCCTCCAGCCTTAGCATATTAAGTCTCTATGCAGAGGCATAGACAAAGGAAAAGGAATACAAAGGAAGGAACCTGGCAAGCAGGTCAAGGGAGGTGAGTCCCCTCATCTTCTCCACTCTCATGAGACCCCACCTGGAGTACTGCATCCAGTTCTGGGGTCCTCAGTACAAGACAGACATGGACCTGCTAGAGTGGGTCCAGAGAAGGGCCACAAAAATGGCTGGAACACCTCTCAAGTAAAGAAAGGCTGTGAGAGTTGGGATTGTTCAGCCTGGAGAAGAGAAGGCTCTGGGGAGATGTTATTGCAGCCTTTCAATATAATAAAGGGGGCTTATAAGAAAGACGGAGAGTTTTCACTAAGGCCTGTAGTGACAGAAAAAGGAGCAATGGTTTTAAACTGAAAGAAGGTAGGTTTAGCCTGGACATAAGGAGGACATTTTTTAATGATGAGGGTGGTGAGACACTGGCACAGGTTGCCCAGAGAAGCTGTGGCTGCCCCCTCCCTGGCAGTGTTCAAGGCCAGGTTGGACGGAGCTTGGAGCAACCTGGGCTAGTGGAAGGTTGTCCCTGCCCATGGCAGGGGGGTTGTAACGTGATGATCTTTAAAGGTCCCTTCCAACCCAAATCATTCTATGATTTTATGATTCTATGAATCCATTTCTAATAGCAGAGTGCTGTGGAATGTCTGACTAGTCCTCATGCAACCTCTGTCTTTGTGAAGACGTAATGTCTCTATCCCTGGCACTAACAATGATGGACAGCTGAATTTTTAAGTGAATGACTCACTACAGTCATGCAGAAACATGGTAATAGGGTCTCACTCAGTTGTACCCTAATTTATCATATCTTTTGCTCATGTCTTTCTACTGTCACATGGACAGCTGGTCTGGAAAGCAGGTTATTAATCAGTCTCTGATGGTCAGAGGAGGCCAGTAACAATTCTTATTCAAATCCTTTAGGTTGTCATTCACATTTCTTATTTCAGCATGTATTTAATCTGAAAACACTGTTCTCCATTCCTTGTGCATACAGGCACTCAGTGCTCACTGTCAGACCCTGCACATTCATAGAGCCCATTTTACAATTATATGAAGCCAACTTTACTAGCAAGGGCTTATGTCCTGACAGTGATTGCCTAGGTAGCAGCAGTGGTAGAAAAATAATATTGAAAAGAGAGGAAGGAAAGAGGAAGGAATAAGCAGTTCAGCAAGAGGTGTCAAGAAGTTCAGGCTAAGATAGAAGCATGGACAAGCCCAAGAGGAAGGGAGAGATGTATGTGAATTAGTACAAAATTAATGAGTGAAGTTCTGTAAATAGGTAAGTTGCAAAAAAGCAGAGAAAATAAGGTTAAAATTGGTAGAATCTCCTAAAAAGGGAGATATGTGAAATACTGTATATCAAAGGAAACATTCAAAGTGTTATCAGGAAAGAAAGTGATAGCCAAGCAAACACCTCACAGTTACTAAAGAGTAGAGATGAAGTTATCACTAACATCAGAGGCTACTGAGGATCTAAAAAGGATAAAAATGACAAAAGTTCCTCCAATTAGTCAGAAACTAGGGGAAGAGACATTTCAATGAAAATGCTGGAAGCCACAGTGAAAGATGAAGTCACAGAAAATTTGTACGTAAATGGCTCATATTATGAGTTTGAAGGTGAGGGAAGGCCAAGGGAATTCACTCACTAAATGGTGAGTTAACAGAAAGATGCAATTGATGGGGACTCTCTGAAGATAAACGTTCCTATACTTAGTAGTTATACCTAAGTATTTCAGGTGCTGCCTTAAGTTATTGGGGGAGAGCCTCTTGAGGTGGGTGGATCAGAAGCACAGATGGGTACTGGATGGTCAAAGAAAATAATGTTTCATGATCTGCCAGTGGTTAAAAAAAAAAAAAGAAGGAAAAAAAAAAAAAAGGAAGGAGCCACTTCAGAGCCCCAGCAGTCAAGAGAAGTAAAAGTGGTGTATGGAAGAGAACTGCATGAATAGTAAGACATCTATGTTAATTTGAATCTCAGCACACTTCACATGGAAGAGCCAGACAAGTGCAAACAAAGAAACAGTTATGAGGCATGAGAACAGAAACAGAGGAAAGGGAAAGTGGTTCTTGGCTGTAAAAGAACAAAAGCAGATGGAATCATACAATAGTGATCACGTAGGAACATGCTTCAAGGAGTAAACTAGAACCAAATCTAGGATAATCTAAAAATATCTCAAATTATATTTAGAATAGACAGAACAAGAAATAAAATAGCAAGAATGTGAAAAAATAATCTACCAATTATTTACCACTGGAATCTGAACAGATCTACTACAAAAATCCAACAGTTTTTAGAGAACAGTATTAGTAATAGCATGACTTCTAACTGGGAAGACTAAAACTCTAGAGATTAGCTTCATCTCACCAAGCTCCAACAGCTGTGAATGAGCAAAGATGGTCTAGCCTCCCTTGCACTTCAAAGGTTTTAGTGAATTTAATCATCACTTTACGCCATGCTTCCTCCTCTTTTACTTATAAGAAAGCCCACGACAACAGGATTTCTGATTTGGCACTTATTCTGTGATTTTGGGTAAAGAATTAGGAATAAACTCAACTCCCTGGAACAGCAAAAATCCCAGAGTGGGCCTTCTGAAGTCCTGTCAACATGCTGTGCAGTGCAATTTCAAATAGGGCAGAGTCACTTAAATTTTCCCATATAATTCCTTTCACCTGCAGGGAATCATTAGTAACTAAACTATCAGTTTGAATGAAAGTGGAAAAGTTGAGCTTGAGACTACATAAATTCATGAGCTGAGTTTCCTTTCTATTTATGGTTTCAGAATTAGGAAGATAAACTTAAAGCATATGGTTTAAAAATTAACTAATTCCTGCCATTCTCTGGGCAAAGCTATTTAGACTAAAGGAGAGAGATTATTCAGGTAATAGTGTGACCTAGAGTGCCTCAAAAACTTCAACCCAGGCTCAGGTGTTGAGGTGATTATTCATTTAAATGTGAGGTTCTCTAGCCAGCAACAAAAACTAAAATTATCACTGTATCCCTCCTAATAAGGTAGAATAGAATTTTTGTCTATAATTTCCAAAATGTGCAATATAATTAGCAATACTAACATGGAAGCATTGTCATCAAATAATGTAAAATATGAATGACATAAACAGAAGAGATATTTTTAACCATGGAAGATGATGAATTTTTGTTCCCAACTACTTAATTTATAACGGATATGACCTAGGGTTTTTTACGCTTTTACGTGCTTTATACAAAATTAAATTTCAAATTATTCTTTAGCTACACATTCATATTACTGAATTACACTAAATATTATAAACTATTATTATGGCTGGTCAGACATTCAAACTAGAATTTTCCATATATGCCTACATTCTGCATGGCAGACACCTTGAAGAAATACTCCCTGTAATCAGCATTTTTTATGGACACAAGGATTATGAAGAAATACGTTTTTTTTCTTACATAGACATAAGGAATATAATAAAATGTGTTGTTGCTCATACAAGCTACTTTGTTAATATTAAGAATCAAAGAGTCATTTTAAATATCAAGCTAATAAAATCTAGAAAGAGGATATTCAGGATGGCTATTACTCACCTGTTTTTAAAATACCATATGGTATACATGCATTTACATATCTAAAACTAATTTGAAATACTGCACTAACACCAACATACATTACTGAAAAAATAATAATTGTGGTTTTCACTGTCAATATTAAAATAAATCATCTGCATGTACAATTACTATGAAAATGCATCTCAAGCATTTTAGATTCTTTTGTAATTTTACTACTTCTTTAGAAAACAGACATATCAGTGTCAGTAAATATGAAATATTCAAAAGTATTGCAAGCTATTATTACCTTTAAGTAAAATACAATATTCTCAGTACAACATCAACTGTACTAAACACAAAGCTAAATTACCTAACTTTTCAGGTTTTCTTTTAAGTGTTTGTATTCTTTAACGAACACTGATGGAATTTGGGGTATACTACAGCACTTATATTTATGCTATTAGGTGTATTTAATCTACTTCACTGTTAGTGTTTCTGAAGTTTTAAAATAAATATTCCCTAACATATCTAATATTTACAGACCTTGTTTCTTACAAGAATCTATAATCTGTTATAATTAATCAATTATGTCAACAGTCTGTAGTGACATTATATCATAAAATCAGGGGGAACAAAGTTATAAACTATCTATATTATATTATATTGTATTGTATCGTATGGTATCACATATCACATCATATAATATATAATATCAATTATATTTATGATTTTATTATTATTATTATTATATAACTTATACCCCCACAGACATTGCCGTCCATATTTTCACACTGTCGATCATCGCATTCACAGTTTTTGCCATGAACTCTGTTGTCTCCGGGAGGGAAACAAGTGCATTGGCCACATTCACATCTCCCTGTAGGAATAAACAATAATTAGAGACATTATTTCAGTAAAGTAAAATAGATGAAAAAAAAAACCCAAACTTATTCTACAACCTGCCCCCCAAAGGCAAACTACCAGCCACTGTATTAATTAAAGTATGCACAAAAAACACTATTAAAAAGAACCAACACAGAACTTTCCCTCCTCCATGGCAACCAGAGCAAAGTGTATCACTGCTATATCTTGGTGGAAACAACAACAATAAGCAATCACTGGCATTGTATGTTTTTCATATCTCAACTTTGCATAACAGATCCATGGCACATGCTTAACTGCATGATTAACCTCTATAATTAATCTAAAATATTTAACACATACCTCAGAAACTCAGAATGAATGTGTTTAGAATTAAATAGTCCATGCGCAGGGCTATCTAAGATACTTTCTATTCATGTAGAAATGTAAGTCCTCAAATACTCTGTCAGGCATTTGGAAAGCAAAAATCCCTAATTTCTCTAGCCTAGATTTGAGGATATAGCAATCAAAAGCACAACCTCTGTCAATCATCCCTTCCATCAGCCTGTTCACAGGAGAACACCCCAGAGCTAAGATCAAGGTCAGCCTTACATTGCATATATATGAGAGAAATTCAGTTCAGGGTAACACTGGTTTTGTTATTTCCTAACTTGTAAGAGTTTGCATCTGTATTTTTAAAATTGTTTTAATGACACTACTGTGAGAATGCTCTAAATATGACACAGACCATCGATCAATGTAATACATTTGATGGGCTTGGGAAAGGATATTGTGTGTAAAAAAAAGGGCCACCAGACACATGGATTAGGACAGAGTAAAGCCTGTTCCTCTTGATCTAATTTAATCACAACATCAGTGAGACTCAACCTGGTCCTGTACACTGCTCTACTGTCTGCAGAACCTCAATTTACAGTAGGAGAAACTATAACTACAAAGCATAAAATCCTCCAACTGCAGCCTTTCATTATGTAACCAAACAGTTCAGCATGTGCAACATTTTTTCACCATTTGATGAAATATTTTACTGAATGGGAAAGGACTGTTAAGGAGAACCTGAGTGGGGCTTTTCTAACTAGGTTTTGTGACAATAAAACCTTTTAGGTCAACATACTGCCAGATCATTCTTAATCTTTTTTTTCTTTTTTTCAATTTCTAACCTAAATTTGTTACATTTGTTTTACAAAAAAAACCCAGTCTAATTAAGTTGGAGTAGAGAAAACCTTATTACTGATGGAAAAAATTTATAGCTGCCATACTCTTCATCTTCCCAAGCATCAATGTTACATTTGCATATGATATTCTGCGTGCCAGGAATCAATCTAGAAGGACATTTTATGATCAACTTAAAGTACAGGTATCTTAAAGAAGACATGCTGATAGAGAGAATTAACAGCAAATACTTCATGACACCTTTATAATTCACAGTGTTAAAACTATGTTGCATTGTCAATTATATGAGGCTATTGGTTCCAGAAAGAAACTTATAGAAAGCTCATTTATCACCTCACAAAATATAGTTGTATTCGGTAATCAGGTCAGCATTTAAGATATCATTGTCTACAGAATGATTGATGTAATCTGTCTGCATTCTCTAAGCTACAATTATTTGCCAAGGACAGCTACATTAGAAACTGGAAAAAAAAATCATTCCTTAGTTCTTAAATATACAGAGATTTTTAATGAGTCCAACTTGCAACTATTTAGGGTTTTCACAGTCTCTTTTTATGCATCCACCTTAGACAACCTGGCTACTTTTACAAAAATGTCACATTGCAGTGTCCCAAAGCACAGTCACCCACAGGCAGATAGGTACCCGATGAACAGGACCCATCTGTTGTGAAGACTCTCTAAAATAAACAAAAGAACCATCTTTAACAGTGGTATCTTGGCCAGCTAATGCTGTAATAAGGAGGATGCCTGAAGGACAATAAAATCAGTTTAAGCAAGTTGCTTTGAAGAGAGGAGTCAGCAGAGATGGAAAATCCTCCAGAGAGATGAGCAAAGGAAGGTTCTGTAATGAGGCTCCTGCATGTTCTGTAATTAAGCACTGCCTTCTGTAATGCTTAATTTAATGTCAGAATGACCTGAGAGCCTAGTGGCTGGGCACTTGCACTGTAATGGGAACAGGTTCCTCTCAGTTCCTGCTGCAATTAGTATTTATTCATTTTAGTTAATATGCAACAGTTTCACTGGGGGAGGGTGTGTGTGTGTGTGTGTGTGTGTGAAGGAATATCCCATCCCTAGGCAGATAGGGTATATTTTTGTCATGTAAGAGATACAAGCTCAGGTTGTCTACTCAAAATCAAGCACAAAGGTGATTTAGGCCCTTCTCACCAACACATACATCCAAAAAGCCCAAAGGCCTTGTTGATATCTGTGCCTCATGTTTTATTTTGGTTGGCTCCCACCTAAAGTCAGGGTATGATTTAGATCATCTGATTGTGGACCTCAGCAGAACTGAGAGTCTTGAAAATGGACAGAAACTTCAGTCATTAAGTGCTCTGGAAAAGGATTTCTCTGAGCTATTTCTTTACTTTTAAATATGCAAAGATACAGTTACAGTAGTTCAGTACACTGCTGCTGAAATTGATACTCACATTACTAGTTCATCATTCCTTTTCTTTTACAAACGTGACAAAATCATCACCATGAACATGAGAAGTGAATTTAATGGTGGCACTATAATTGCAACTTTGTACTGACTTTAAAAGTATATTTTACACCCAAAAGTACTGAGATTTTGGTTAGATTATGTAAAGTGGGCTCAATCTGTGGAGATAAATTAACAGTGAATTAAAGCCCTATTGCTTCTGCACAGCTAATGACATAAGATGTAGTAAATGTAAACTTCAAAGGCTCAGGTTATTCCCATATAGATGAACACAAAAAATAATAGCATTCTGCAGCAATAAATTTCAGATAGCTTTCCTGGGAAAAACAGGATAAGATATTTGAAGGGTAAACTTGCTTCAGCCATACTCTACTTTGCCAGATGTATCTGCTACTGAAATAACAGAAGCCACACCCTATTCTGTGACCTTCTTCTCTTAGTTATTGTGCTAAAATACTTACCATATCAATTCAATCATTCAAAAGTAAGTTGAAGCTCACATTATACTGAAAAGGGATCAGCACTTTACTAAACATACTCTTTCTTTGTCTCGAATAATAGGTTTACCATAGCAACCTGATTATAGAGGGAAAGCTACTGCCAAACACATCCTAAATTCTCTTTAAATTCCAGGGCATACAGAAACAATTAAACACAAGAGGACTGTAATATTCTGCACTTTCTCAGCTGTCTGTGCAAGAGCTACACTTTATAAGTAAAAAGAAACAAGTTCATCTCAGACATTTTATTGCAAGTGGCTTCTTCTCCTCCTCGCTAAACAGGGAGAGTAAATTTCATTGTCTGATGACTTCAGATGAAGGAAGCTTTGTGATGGAGGTTGCATTAGGTATTAGCATTGAAAAGCTTAACCTACTTATCACAATGCAAGATTCCAGAAACAGAATAATTATAGAAGACATTTATTTGTCTACAGTCTTAATATTTCCTTGCACTCTTTCCTCCCATTGAAGTCAATAAGAGTATTAACTTATTACTGATAATTGTTATTACTTGAAGACTGAAAAAAAGACCAGCTTAGGCTGGGTTTTTTGTTTTTAAAAGGAATTAAAGTATCTCATTAAAACACATAAGTTTGTCAGATAACTGACTAGAATTCTAAAAATCTGTGCCTTAAGCATATAGCTTTGGAGTTTATTCAGCACTTACTATACCATTTTTTTATTCCTCTTGTCCAACATTTATGAAAGCATCACTAAAGTAAACAGTGCCTAGACTTATATTAAACCTGCTCCCATGCAAATCGCTGTGATCACTAGCTGCATGCATTCAAGCTGACTGAAAGTTTCTTTTATACAGGTAATATTCATTTTAAAACACTCTGGTAGAAGTATATAATTTGGGTAATAAAACATTTTTTCCCTGCTATTACCAGCAAAAATATCAGGAAGAAACAGTAATAGCTTCCAATGTAAAAATAAACACTAAATATAATAAGAGGTATTTCATTGTCTTTTCCTGGCTGTAACTCTACAACATAAAGAATTCTTCTGTGCATGGTGCTGAGTTTTTATCTTCTAAATGAAAACCAATAAAGAAAATAATTTCTTAATTGTTTCTTTTTGTTCGTTTGTTTTTTTAATGTGTAAGGAATACAGCACCATATTGCACTGATTTACCACAATTGTGGTGAAAGCAAACCAGGTTCACTGGTACTTCTGACAGATGGTGTTTCAAGTTAGTGATAAATAGAAGGGAATATGCCTTTAGGATGGACTTTTCTGCTCCATGGCTGTCCCAGGCTTAACATCTGAAAGCATTACCTATCAGAAATTGCCATTTCTTTGTTATCAAGCAATCTCGGGCAACATGAGCACATACGGTAAAGCTGCTGCGTCTTTCTGACAGCAGAACCCATTTCACACTGAATGGGAACAGATGATCTAGAATGATGTTCAGAAACGGCAAATCAGAGAAGTGGGATGGGAAGATTTGTACTGATGATCACAAAGTTTCAGGGGACATAGTGGGTGTGGGGAAGCAGATGTGACTTAAGGAAGTAATAGATAGGATGTAGCAGCTTCAGGTAAGGAGAATTAAAATTCACTGACTGAATGGTGGAAAGAAGAAAGACCAGTAAAGGGAATAAATAGTACCACAAAATGGGCAAACAAAATGCAGCACTTGCCAAAAATACGGTCGACAATCACATCATGCCTTGCTCAGTCTGAGGCATTAAGAGCAGTGCAATCCAGCTGAGCTGGATCAATGTGGAGAAATTTATAGACTTAAACAGAAAACAACTAAAGACTTCTCAGTGGGCACTCATAGATTTTTTTGTGTATGTCCTTTTCCCAAGATGTCCTGGAATGAGTTCCCACACCTAGAATGGCTTGTCATTTTAAAAAAAATTAAAAATTAATAAT